TTATTACTAGTCTTATTACTTTGAATCTAACTACATTAAATGTGGTATAATATTCTGATTCTCGCATTGAGAATTTATAAAACGTTTAAATAATAAGAGAAATTAAAATTAAAATTACCTACACTCTAGTTTGTACACTTAGTCTAACCCAACCTAACCTAACTTATCCAAATCATACGGTTATACTTAAAATTTAGATTAAGTAATTTTTTTTAGTTTAATTACTTTAAATCTAACTTAATAACGTAATTAGCACAATTGTTTTTCTGAGGATGCTTATTAATTTTAAATAATAAGAAAAAATTAAAATTACCTACTCACTAGTTTGCACACTTAGTTTAATTACTTTAAATCTAATTTAATAATGTGGCATTATACCTTGATTCTTATATTGAAATTTTTTAAACGTTTAAACAATAAGAAAAAAAAAATTACCTACTCGCTAGTTTGTACAATTAGTCTAACCTAACCTTACCTAACTTATCGAAATCTTACGATAATTCTTACAATTTAGAATAGGTAATTATTATTAGTTTAATTACTTCAAATCTAACTATATATTAGGCATCATGACTTGTTACATGCATTAAGCATTTTTAAAAATGTTTAAATAATAAGAAAAAAATTAAAATTACAATTACCTACTTGCTAGTTTGTACAATTAGTCTAACCTACCTTACCTAACTTATCTAAATCTTACGTTAATTCTTAAAATTTAGATTAAGTAATTATTTTTAGTTCAATTACTTCAAATCTAACTTAATAACAAGATTGGCACAATTTTTTTTTTGAAGATGCTTATAACGTTTAAATAATAAGAAAATATTAAAATTAAAATTACCTACTCGCTAGTTTGTACAATTAGTCTAACCTAACCTTACCTAACTTATCGAAATCTTACGATAATTCTTACAATTTAGAATAGGTAATTATTATTAGTTTAATTACTTCAAATCTAACTATATATTAGGCATTATGACTTGTTACATGCATTAAGCATTTTTAAAAATGTTTAAATAATAAGAAAAAAATTAAAATTAAAATTACCTACTTGCTAGTTTGTACAATTAGTCTAACCTACCTTACCTAACTTATCTAAATCTTACGTTAATTCTTAAAATTTAGATTAAGTAATTATTTTTAGTTCAATTACTTCAAATCTAACTTAATAACAAGATTGGCACAATTTTTTTTTTGAAGATGCTTATAACGTTTAAATAATAAGAAAATATTAAAATTAAAATTACCTACTCGCTAGTTTGTACAATTAGTCTAACCTAACCTTACCTAACTTATCGAAATCTTACGATAATTCTTACAATTTAGATTAGGTAATTATTATTAGTTTAATAACTTTAAATCTAACTTAATAATGTGGCATTATACCTTGATTCTTATATTGAAATTTTTTAAACGTTTAAACAATAAGAAAAAAAAAATTACCTACTCGCTAGTTTGTACAATTAGTCTAACCTAACCTTACCTAACTTATCCAAATCTTACGTTAATTCTTAAAATTTAGATTAAGTAATTTTTGTTACTTTAATTATTTTAAATTTAACTTAATAACAAAGTTGCATGATTCTTTCCCTGAGGATTATTATAACGTTAAAATAATAAGAACTAAATAATATTTAAAAAAATACTTTCTCGGTAATATAGATAAGAAAATAAGTTTTTATTTTCTTATAATTAGAAATTTTTTTTTGACGTTTTTTGCGAATCATTTTCTGGTGGTATTGTTTGGTAGACTATATATATGAATCAGTCGTTTGAGAATCAACGCAAAACACTATTTTTTAAGGTTTTTTTTTTACAAAACTTTTGAAAGTGTTTTAAAAATAAAAATTTTTTTATTTACACATCTTATCTAATTATGTTAATTTAAAGTAATTTATTTTAATACTTAAAATATAGATTTAGTAATTATTATTATTCTTATTACTTTGAATCTAACTACATTAAATGTGGTATAATATTCTGATTCTCGCATTGAGAATTTATAAAACGTTTAAATAATAAGAAAAATTAAAATTAAAATTACCTACTCGCTAGTTTGTACACTTAGTCTAACCTAACCTTACCTAACTTATCGAAATCTTACGATAATTCTTACAATTTAGATTAGGTAATTATTATTAGTTTAATTACTTCAAATCTAACTATATATTGGGCATCATGACTTGTTACGTGCATTAAGCATTTTAAAAATGTTTAAATAATAAGAAAAAAATTAAAATTAAAATTACCTACTCGCTAGTTTGTACAATTAGTCTAACCTAACCTTACCTAACTTATCTAAATCTTACGTTAATTCTTAAAATTTAGATTAAGTAATTTTTGTTACTTTAATTATTTTAAATTTAACTTAATAACAAGAGTTGCATGATTCTTTCCCTGAGGATTATTATAACGTTAAAATAATAAGAACTAAATAATATTTAAAAAAATACTTTCTCGGTAATATAGATAAGAAAATAAGTTTTTATTTTCTTATAATTAGAAATTTTTTTTTGACGTTTTTTTGCGAATCATTTTCTGGTGGTATTGTTTGGTAGACTATATATATGAATCAGTCGTTTAAGAATCAACGCAAAACACTATTTTTTAAGGTTTTTTTTTTACAAAACTTTTGAAAGTGTTTTAAAAATAAAAATTTTTTTATTTACACATCTTATCTAATTATGTTAATTTAAAGTAATTTATTTTAATACTTAAAATATAGATTTAGTAATTATTATTATTCTTATTACTTTGAATCTAACTACATTAAATGTGGTATAATATTCTGATTCTCGCATTGAGAATTTATAAAACGTTTAAATAATAAGAAAAATTAAAATTAAAATTACCTACACTCTAGTTTGTACACTTAGTCTAACCCAACCTAACCTAACTTATCCAAATCTTACGTTAATTCTTAAAATTTAGATTAAGTAATTTTTTTAAAATTAATCACTTTAAATTTAACTTAATTACATTTCGAGATTCACTTTATCGATTATTTCACTGTCGATTTGTATAACGTTTAAAAAATAAGAACTAAAAAGTATTTAAAAAATTCCTTATCCCTAATAAAGATATGAAAATAAGTTTTTATTTTCTTATAATTATAATGTATTATAATACTTAAAATATAGATTAAGTAATTATTTTTAGTTTAATTACCTTAAAACTAACTAAATTAAATGAGGTAGACATAACTTCTTGTTTCTCGCATTGAGAACTTTCATAACGTTTAAATAATAATAAATCAATAATATTAAAAAAAAACACTTAATAGCTATTATATAAATAAATTGTTATTATAATATTTCAAGTGTTGAATATTTTCCGGTGGTAATATTACTAGGAGACTAATTATGGTTATTAAAACTATGAGGACATTTTCGGAGGTGGTTTTTTACACCATAGCCTATTCAATGTAAAAATAAATATTTCAAAATTGGGTTTCAGAAAGACGTTATTAATGAAGTGACAAAAACAAAATGGTAGTAGTTGTTTTAAAAAAAAATGACAAGGGAGCAAAATGAAAGTTTTATATTCAATATGTGTTCCTATAGTTTAAGTCTTTATCAATATGGTCTTAATAAAAAAAATTGAACAAAAACTGAAAAACAAAATCCGATAGAAAATGAACAAAAAATTATTAATGTAAGAAAAAACCGTTTATTTTAAATTAAATTGTAACTTATACCCTTCTGGTTCTTATCACTTCATAAAATATCATACTTTTTATCTGTTTATTACTTTCTATTGGATCCTTGCAAATAAGTTCCCAACGAGTAAACAAAGCCATTCACTAATTTGTTAAGACTTTTATTTGAATTCCTATTTTGAGATGATAAAAGTTTTCTCGGTAAAATACTAATTATATGCACATAATTGTTACTATTTCAAATTAATTTTTCTGCTAGAATACTCAAGTACAATATATGATGATAATATACAGTATGTAATCTACAATTATTTTGTTGTTAGATTATTGGAATGAAAATTTATTCGAATCAAGTTCTATGTAATTTTAAAATCTCACGGTTTTAATTTAGGTAATATGTAATCACAAATTAAAAAGCTTTTGCTTGGTAAATGTTTAACTATATTTTAATATTTCAGATTATATATTTTTTTTTAATAATGCCCAATTATTTTTTAATTGAATTATTCAAACAACCTAAAATGTTATTTGAAAATTATTGCAGAAAATAGTAAATTTGTATTTAAATTAATAAGTTATTCAATTCATTTTAGTTGTTATTCGTTATTTAACTTAATTTCGTCTAACTTTGATCATAAATACATATTTTAACAGGCAGACAAAAGATTACAATAAAAATCTCAAAAAACTAGGTAGTGTTTTTTTTTTACTCGTTTGAAACATCCTATCGTTTGTTTACTTTATAAGAACAAGCTAAATATTTCCTAATCGTCATTACTCTAAGCATTAACCTAACCTATTATCTAACCATTAACATAACCTAACCTAACTTAAATAATTATTTTTAGTTTTAACACTTTAAAACTAAAAATAATGACACTACAATTGAGGTATAATTGCCCGATTCTCGCATTGAGAATTCACATAACGTTTAAATAATAAGACATAAATAAAAAAATTACCTATTCGTTATAGTATATTATATACTTGGTCGAACCTTACCGATCTGTTCCAAATATAATCTGACCTAACTTAACCATAATTTTAATATTACCTAACCAAACCTTACCAATATAATCCCAATCCAACATAAGCGGATCAAACCTACCAAAATAAACTACACTATCTTAATTAATCTTAATGAACTGTTATCCTTTATGAACCGCCCTGTATTTTGAAAATCCATAGACTTATGGGCTTAACGGGGACAATTTGAATCTTGTAGCCTAGGCAAACGGACGGGGTGCGTTTGGGTGGAATGGTGAAAGATGGGGGCGGTGGTTGGAGGACTGTGGCAGAGACGGGGGGAGGGGGGGCTTTTTTACGACCTCTAAACGATAACTTATGGCGTCGCGTCAGTTCGGCCGTGCTGTGTCTTCAGGTGCGATCCGAGAATCCTGGCCGTGGCAAAGCTGTTCGGGCAAAGCGTGCACGCGTGCTTCAGGGCTACCGAGTGGCACGTCAAGTGTTTGTGGAGACTGGACGCCGTGGTGTAGATCTTGCAGCACACGTGGCACTGGTGTATTTTCTTCAGGCCGTGCGCGTTCATCAGGTGTTCGACCAGGCAGGCCGGCTCGGTGAACTGTTCGTAGCAGACGTGGCACGGGTACGGGTTGTGCGTGCCGTGGATCCTGGTGACGTGCGAGTTCCGGCCGGGCGCGGTCAGAAAGTGTTTGCCGCACAGCCGGCACTTGTACGGCCGCTGGTCGGCGTGGAACAGCCTGTGGTGCGTGGCCAGATGGGCCGCCCTGGTGAACATCTTGGGGCAGACCGGGCACTCGTGCAGGGCTTTGTGGGTGTGTACATGCTTGTGTTTGCCGAACGCCGACAGGCAATTGAAACGCTTGTTGCACACCGAGCAAGTTAACAGAAACTTGCTAGCCTCGATACCGCGGGCGTCGCTGTAAAATGACAAAAAAAAAGAAAATTAAACCTAACTTAAACAAACATAACTAAACCCAACCTAACCCAACTAAACTTAACTAAACCTAACTAAACCTAACCTAAACTGACCTAATCTAACCTAACCTAACCGCATGCAACCCCCTTAAAATTGTTCGATACGGCTTACTATTTGAAACTCCAACTGGTTTTTGCCTTTACTAAAAATACAACAACAATCAAATTATTGTCATGACAATAATTTTATCGATATTTTTTTATTGAAGCGTTTGTTTGAAAGTGATTTGATATGGCAAATATTAAATATTTTATTATTCTTAAATAAAACCTTCAATGAAATTATTAATTTTGCAATACAATATTATCTCAGTTAATTTTAATTTTTTTTCAATTTAATAAAAAAAGAAGGCATTTTATTTTTATATTTAAAAATAAAAAATAAATTTGAAATTATTTTAGACAGTTAAAATGTTCAATTACAGTTTAAAAAATGTATTTAAAATGAATACTTTTACATAAATAAAACAATTCGATTTTCATAGCTAAACAGAACATGTTATTATTATTTTTTTGTTTTCAAAACTTGAATGGAACTTCCCATCATTATTGGGGGGGGGGGGGGGGTATTCTTTAAGTGTCTATAACATATGTTTTGACTTGCGAAAAATCCTTACACATATAAAATAATATTTTTCACATTGTCAACAAGGATTGGTCGACGATTGGTAGAGACGGATTTTGTTTCATTTTTTACTGTTGCCGGCGTTGGGATCTTCTCCGCTTTGATTATTACACTGAAAACGAACAATGAATATTTCTTTCAGTTTTTTCCTAGTATTATTCCAAAAGTAATTTTTTTTATAACAATATTTTACCTGTGGATATGATTACCACCACTTGTTGGGCCGTTGTCCACACCTGCAGCTGTTGCTTGAGGATTGCCAAATTGTTTTCCATAATCTCTTACTATTACCGACCGTGTGTTATCCGTTTGTTCAAAGCTAAACAAAGTATAAATTGTGTGTTTAGAAAAAAAAATGCCTTTTCGTGACAGAGAAAACCATACTAAATAATATTTATATATAAGTTTTTTTTAAAATTAATTTATACTGAAATTTGTGCTATAAACCCGGTTTGTATAGCTCTTAACTGTTTTAGTTTTTAAAATTATTACTATTATACATTTTTTTTAAGAAATCTAATTTTTGTATAATACAAACAAAATATACATAAAGTACTTATTTTATATATAATATATATATATATATATATTTTTATATTATATAACATAAAGAGTATGAAGTGTTACGATTTCTAAATATCAACTTTACATCAGGCTAGTATCTATAAACCGTATTACAATATAATAGTTTCTTATTATTGTCATTTTAATAGTAAAAAAAATTGTTCAGCTAATACAAACATTTATTTTGAAGCAGAATTATATGTAAAAGATTATGGTCCTTATATCCGAAAGCCTAAAATGAATTAATCTGACAGTCCATTTTATAATTTTCTGTTAAAAAACATATCGTCTTATTTTTATCTATTACAAAATTAAGTGCGTCTAAGGCATAATGTTGTTAATGTGTTATGAAAATATTAAAGTACAATACAAGAACTGCATGAACAAAATGTTCGAAAAGAAGGTAAAAGTATACAAAATAATAACAAATTGATTTTGAAAAACTATTTAAAAACTGCCAAATAGTCCAAACGTGAAGTTTATGGGGCTATGTGCCGTGTGCTTTTGCTTGGTGACTTTTGAGAGTATCTTGGCGACCATAAGATGTATCACAGGTTGAGAATTTATTTCGTATCCCACCAATATGTATGCGTCCATGAGTATTGAGTGAAGACTGACCACCAAATGTTTTTTCACAAACATTGCATTTAAAATGTTCTCGCCGGTATGTATCCTTTTATGTGCTTTAAGATTATGTTGACTGAATGTCTTTTTACAGACTTTGCATTTTAAAGTTGTCTCGCCGCAATTTGTCCTTTCATGAGTTTCTTCAGGTCAGATAGTTGATTGAAGGTTTTTTTCACAGACGTTGCACTGGAAGAATTTTCGACGGGAACTTGTAAAAGGATATAGCCCTGCAAAAAACTCTTCCAGTGCGATGTCTGTGAGTATAGTTTTTTACCATCGAAAATGTATTTTAAATTAAATAGAGATTTTAACGAAATAGACTATAATTATCTAACTTTTTTTTTTTAATGATTATTCTTCGACATTTAAGAACATTCTCGACATTTTAGTCATTACCCATAACATATTTTATCCTAAACAAAACTATTAACTTATGTAATATTATGTTGTCCTCTTCTATAAAGAATTCGCTAACATTTGAACTTATATTACGAACCACTTGTTCATATAATAATAGATTGATTTAAAACTACATACACCTCTTATCAATTTAACGTTAAAACTTAAATCACAATAAATAGATATTTTGTTTGTGAACTTACTTGTAAGTGTTATCGCGAATAGGAATCGTTTGGCGGTTGTCCACTTTGGCCGAATCGTTTTGGGGCAACGTTTCGTGTTTTACTATGACCGCAAGTTTGTTGTTTATTTCTCCGACGCTAAAAAAAAAAAAAAAAATTTTAAATTGTCATAAAACAAAATAAAAGGTGTTAAAAAATATTATGCATTTTTTTTTTTGGCAAAACCGTACTTACGCGCAAGGTAAGTTCTCGACGGTGTTGCGCAACGTTTCGTGCTTGACTATTACCGACAACTTGTTATTTATTTGGCCAAAGCTAAAAAAGAAAAAGATTGAAAATTTGAAAAAAAAAAACCAACCGTTTAGCTAACTTTTACATTGCAGTAGCCGCAAGTGTATCGTTTTGGGGTCGAGAGGGGTTCATGTACTCTTGGTGCCCCCTTTCCCAAAATGTTGACCCAAAACCCCAACTTACTTGTAAGCCTTTTTAGAATAATCAACATTGTCTTGGCCATAGCCCGCGTTGATCGAATTTTTGTTGGCCGACACATGTTTCACTATTACCGTCGGATAGTTTTCCATTTCTTCGGTTGAGCTGAAAACAAAAAAGGACATTTTATAATTAAAATTTCATGGAATTTTTCGCATGGAACAAAAACGCTTTAGAAATATTTCTATTGTTTCTCAAACACTTAAGAATACTAATTTAGAAGCAGATAGAATTCAATAAGGACAATACATTCATTGCGTTTATTGACGTAGAAAAAACATTTGATACGGTTCCGTGAAAAGAGCTTTTTCAAACGCTTAAAGAAATAGTTGTCGATTCTGAAGATATACAAGGAATATACAAAAGGAACAATCAACATATAATTCAAGTGACAAAATCAGAAAAGGAGTAAGACAAGGATGCCTCCCCCTATCTAAAATATTATTTAAGAGAGAGAGAGACTTACTATATGAGCAATCGGTTCGGTGGTTCAAAAGATACCCTGGGCCAGGACATAGGAATTAAATATAAAAATACATCATTATAAACGCAATACCAACTCAGTTCCACATCGAAGCTAAGACGGTTAATTAGAAAAATGTGTTTAATTTGTTCGTAATACTTGAACCTAGTTAAAATAAGAAATTAAAAATCAGAACCTATTCGATTTCTTTTATACTCGAAATAATACACTTGCAAATTCCTTATACATTTTCTTATCAGATTCGGATCTAAAAAAAAAGCTGTCTACTTATTAAAAATAATTTTAGGAAATTATTCAAACATATTTCAAACCACTTGGCGTGCTAGATGAATAACCATGCAAGATTTGGATTCAATAGAAAAAAAGTCTAAAAAATATAACATGTAGTTGTATTGTACTTTGGTGTTGGTTCCTAAATGGTTTTGTACACTGTCATTAGGGTTTTTTTTTTAAGAACAGGTAATTGAAACAAGTGCAAACGTAGGCATTATGTAAATAAAAAAAAATATTTTATGTTAAGTAGAATGCATACAATCGGCTTCTTGCATAACATTGTAAAAAATCCAAAGAACTCGAATGTCTTTACAGAATGGAAATTGGACCATTCTGTTTATTAGTGTGTAACTAAAAAGTACAAAAACCTTATTTATGTATTATATTAAATTGTTCAGATGTTTATTTCTCTTATATTAAACATCAGCTGAATAATTCAAATACAAAACAAATAACCGGATATTCGATCAATACCTACTCAAATAAAATTTCGCTAGAACTTTACCATTAGATTATACTTTATGATAGGAACTGTTGGAAATTATAATTATTCTTATATCTTATAAAGATACAAGTAAAGTAATTACATTTGCACAACATTATGCACATTATATATGTTTTAGGTATCAAACAGTCAATTTTTGTCATCTGTTTGATTTCATAGCGTATTAAAAAAGTTAGAAAAATGTAATATCGAAAACCATTGTAATTTGCATGAACAACAGTGTCATTAATTTATTTATGTCATCGTCACTCTTTTTTTCTCAAATATTGCCTACCTATACAAAACTCGTTATGAACAGACCGCATGCAATTATTCCCTTGACGAATTTTGAACAAGAAACAGATTCGGGAACAATATCCGACCGACGTGGAACTTCTCACGTCTTTACTTTCAACATAAATTCTATCATAGCCCGACAAAAAAATAAATCATTAAAAACACATCACCGCATAAAATATACAATACCTCCTTTGGGCTACGCACCGAAGCGGTAAATATTGACGTTTCGACGACAAAGAACGTCTTGAGAACTACCCGTATTTGACGTTTGAGACTTTCTGGTTTTGTGTGATGAAGTAAACCGACAAAGTTGATAATACAAAACTGTTATGTCGAAAACCGACGAAGGGTGCACGGTATAGGTACTCATTTGAGTGGAACGAGGGGTGCCGTTGGTGGGCCGCTGCCATGGTTACGCCGGCAAGTCAAAGAGCTCTACGCAGAAGCAAGCATGTAGGCCGTGTGCCCACTGGGAGGAGTTGTCACTTGGCGAGGGGGATATACGACAATGTCTAAAGAGAGATTTCCACTTGCCCAGTTCCCGTCCCAAGGCGTATTTTGTGGATTTCCCTTAACATTTAATTGGATTTTCGAGAGCTCCACGCAGCCACGTAGTAGGTACCCACTCCGACAATGTGTGAAGGTGGTGAAAACTAATTTTGACACGGTCCCTGAAGTGACGATAAAAGAATCTTTGCCTTGCGATTGGCCCCAGGGAAATCGTTTATTTAAAAAGCATATTAAAACTCTAGTCGCAGTACCTATTGTACGGTTAAATTAAATCCCGTAAGATGATTTTGATTTTTTGCCCAAATCTCAGTCTAGATATAATATTAACAGGGAAAATCCCTTCGATCCCACCATAACGCGGCCGCCATCTTCTTAAGGCTACACCACTGTAATAATGTTAGATATATACATTATTATACGTTTTTAGTAGAGATATAACACGTAATATTATTACAAGCATATTATATAATATGCTTACATTGAATGTGACCCTTCTGATTTTATCTATTCTGTGATATTGGCACCTATTTAAGTATCACGGACTTAGATCCTTTTCACAAAAATCAAAAATCGAATAAACTTGTGTGAATAACGCATGTGTGCTATAAGAAAACGAAATTTCTGTATCATATTATTATAACCAGTTTAATAAACTTTTTGAACAACAAATACTTTTCAATATCAATAAATTTCAATTAAAAATATATTTTGTGGAAAAAATAAGAATAAATAACTTGATATTTTAACATATGATTAGTTATTATTATTTTAAATAGTTATTTTAGTCTTACATTCATTTTTACACTTTAGGTGTCGGTTTTTTAATGGGTGCTAGCAATGGGACTATGTTCACTGAAATGTGAGCTAACGTTTTTTATTTTTTACACGAAGCGGTTCAATTTATACAAATTATTTTTATCACAAATATTTAATACAAGCACTTGAAAAAAAAGTTTTCTTCCAAGAATAGTTAGTAAAAAATAATTTAATTCTCAAAAGGACTAAGACTTTAATTTGTTATTATTTTGAAACTTTCAATAATAATAAAACTATGATTAGAGTAAAACCAACAACATTTATTATTAATGTCGACGAGTTGGACTAAAATTAATTAATCTAGATGGATATATTAAGTAAGACTATCGATTTGAGGTGTAGTTCTAACACGTCTTAAGGTTTGCAAATTAGTCCCAAGAAAAACCTGAAGTGAAAATGCGACATTTTCTAACCCAACCAAACCTAATGGAAAATAATCTGAAATCAAATAACTAAGACCTCAGATAATACTTCAGACTTATTTTCAGAACTAATCTTAAAACTGCACCCAAAAAAGCAAAACAAAGAAAAAGTTTCCACCCTTGCTAAGATAAAGGAATTATGATATCTATTTTGTTTGTCAACGTTTAACTATAGTACTATATTTAAGTATATTTAAACTGTTCCGTACAAATTTGAAACCAATTTGACTTTTAAAATATTTATAGCGCGCCGTAATTTGGAAAACATGAAATTGTTTTGGATGTTTACTTAGATTTTAAAGGGAATGGTTGATTTAGTAGTACCATAGTACATAGTACCTTAAAGGTATGATTCCTGACCTATAAATTTGCTACTTGAAGAAATCATATGAGTCCAGTTATAAAAAAGAAGTAAAAACGATAGCTTTTGAGCCCCTCGTCATTTTAAACACACACTTTTATGTATTTTATTTTGTACAATGTTTTTTAATTTTATAAAACAAACGTTAATGTTATTAAAACACCCACTCGGTACTACAATATTATGTTGATCCATTTTTGAAGAAAAACAAATTATTTATACACTAAAATAACTAAAACTGCTCAGCAATGCTTACATTAAATCCATCAATCTGATAATGAGCCTACCCGTTCTCTTCTGCTCAGTACTTAATTATTATTATTATTATTATTGTTTATTAAACGCCAAACGGCAATCTTACATAGTTTACAAATATGGTAATAGGTGTACGTGATTGTATAGTTACATAATTACATGATTAAGATATTAAATTCATATTTAGATAGCAATAAATTCAGTATACATATAATAGGATTAGTAGTATTTTAGTAAAAGTAAAGTAGAAATAGTGACCTAAGAACTATTAATTGTTTGCGGCTCTGAGCATGCGATGTAGAGTATGATTGTGCCCGTAAGAGGTATTGTGAGTTGGGACATAAAAACGGGTTTGTTTTCTGGAAGATTGAGAAGGAACTCTGAAAGGAATGGCAGCAAGGAGATCAGGAACGTCCAGAGAACCATTTAGAATTGAGTTTAAAAAGTCTAGGTCTGCTTTATAACGGCTAGAGACAAGAGTAGGGATATTTAAAACTTGTCTTATGTTAGAGTAATCATGAGGTTTGTGGTGAATGTTCATTTTGAAGGCAATAAAGTTTAAAAATTTATTTTGGACACGTTCAAGTCGCAGCTGGTCTTTGGCTAGATACGGATGCCAAACCACAGATCCATATTCAAGAAGAGAACGGGTAAGCGCATAGTATAAAGTACAAAGGCATCCAACTGACTTAAAAAATTTAGTATTGTGTATGATGAACTCTAGTACTTTAAGTGCTCTATTAACTATCGCATTTATGCGAGGGCTAAAACATAGATTAGGTGAATAGATAATACCAAAATCGTTAATGGAGGAAACTCGTTCAAGTGCAGTTCCATTAAGATAGTAGGAGGTTAAAGTTGGAGATAAAGATCTGGAGAAGGAAATAACATTACACTCAGAAAGGTTTGTGGATAGACCTAAGTGAGAAACCCAGTCTGTAAAAATGTCTAATTGACTCTGGAGTAGGACGGAATCTGTAGGAGATCTAATTTTATAAAATATCTTTAAATCATCCGCGTACAACAAACATTTTACTTGGTTAAGCCTTGTGGAAATAGAGTTAACAAAAAGTGAGAATAGTAATGGATTTAGGTGACCGCCCTGAGGAACGCCAGAGGTTGTTTCAAATGTATTTGAAAAGGAGCCCAGGATCGTTACGAATTGTTTCCATCCGGTTATATAAGATTTAAGCCAAGATAATAGTGGGTTACCGACACCCAAGCTTTCAAGTTCGTTTATTAAAATTTTGTGACTGACAGTGTCAAAAGCTTTTCTAAAATCCGTGGTGACGGTATCGACCTGATAACCTGATTCGAGGCTTTCGGCAATGTACGTTGTAAAAATAACACTACTAGCACTAGTAGATTTACCAGGGCGGAATCCATGTTGTTCATCAATTAAAATATGATTAAAGCACCTTTTAATATTATTATAAACAACTAATTCAAATAGTTTAGATAGATGTGGCAAGATTGAAATTGGGCGGTAATTGATAACTTAATGATTGTTGTACAATATTGTTTATCGTTTGGTAGGCGGAAACGAATAAAAATAACTTTGATACCAAGATTGTCTATTTTCGGTCAGTTAGATTCCTCCCACAGTCTAAA